CCCCCGCTCTCCCCCCCCCCCCTCTCTCTCTCTCTCTCTCTCTCTCTCTCTCTCTCTCTCTCTCTCTCTCTCTCTCTCTCTCTCTTCCCTTGGCCCGGCCTGCTTGGTTTCCTCGTCGGAAGATTCGGGAAGATCGTCGTCTGGCGGATTGCTCTGTGCCACCAAGGCGGCTGGCCCAAGTCGTTGTCGAAACCCCATTCCGCACCGGCCGCATTCCGGATTCGGCAGCCCGCAGGCACATAGGCCCGGCACGAGCTTGGAGGAGCCACCAGGCATGCCACGCAAAGCTGGCGAGAAAGCGGTGCCGCGCTGGAGGAACTGACCGGCTGGGCTTGAAGGTGGCGGCTGCTTCGCTGTCGCCTCGTGGGACCGCTGTGGACCACCTAGGTTTGCCTTTAGCTTCGCCGCGTTTTCCCTCACCGATGAAATCAGGGCTTCAACCATCGGTTTCTGGAACAACTCCATCGGCGTTGTCTCCAGGCAGATGACTGGGGGAAGAAGCGTGTCGCAGTAGATCCGAGACTCCGCGGGTCGGTTGAGGCGGGTCGGCCCACCTGATCAGGGAAGCTTCCGAAAGACATGACATGTCACTGCTTTAACTACATGGCATGGGAATTTCCAACCGCCACCTGAGCCGCTCTGGTTGTGGACGTAGGTGCGCCCGCTGGCCACATCCACACGCAAGGTGTAGGACTGGTTGGGCTGCAGCCCTGGAACCTCTACCTCATTGACGCCGTTGTGGAGGTAGTGTACCTGGTCTTCCTTGACTAGGACGAAGGCGTCCTGGCCTTCAAACTGGATCTGCGTCAGGAGCTGAAGCATTGGACCAGTCAGACCCAACCCGGGGTTGCCGCGCTCCTGGTAAAGGTTCATGAGCTGGCTCTTGTAGGTCTCCTTGTCCTTCCTTATCTGTGCTTGCGTCAACTATACCGAGGATGATGCTGCACGGACTCGTTGCGGAAGGAACCCTCCTGTCTAAATGCTGCCACAGCTACACCGCGACGGGGTCGGTCTTGCGGATCTGCCAGTAGATCCACACCGTGCCCCACACTTGCTCTTCCGTGAAAGCGGCCAGCTTGGTGGCTGTTGCCCAATCACCCTTGGCAGACCAGCTGCAAACATCTATATAGCTGTCTTACAGTTACGAAAGAATCCGAAGTCACCGACTTTAGCAGAGAGTCGCCGGATGCACTGATGAGGTCTTGGAGCACAAACTCCTCGGAAAGCTGGCTGTGGCTGTGAGGCTTGCATGAACTTCTGCTGAAGGAGTCTCGGGTGTAAAAGTTCAGTGCTAGGCCCCCGGCCGTCATATCTCCCCAGCTCTTTGCATTGATCGTCTTGCAGTCCCGGCGCCTCTTGCTGCCGGAATCACTCTTAACGGCTTTGGCCTTCTTCGGCGGCGGCTCTGCCATTTCATCCGCTCGGGGTCCCGAGAAGAAAGGCACCGAGGTCCCGCCAAAGCTAATCCGCTGCGCACCACCCAAGGGTGCCAACGGCGCAGCCCCAGCAACCGACTTTGCTGCGGCGGCCTGCTGAGCAGCAAGTCGCATGCCACCAGACATGTCGCCAAAGGCACGGTTGCACAGGAACGACCCTACACTGTCAAGCCCTGCTATCAGTGGCAGCGGTAAGGAGCTGTATCATATCAATGGCTGGAACTCTGGCAAGCTGAAGCAAAACAGCTTGTAATAGGATTCGCCTGCATTCCACCTGGGACATTTGTAGCTCGGAGCACACAGTTGTGCAGTCGTGCATAAAACCATGGCTGCTGCTGGTAGTCCAGCGAGCAACTGTGCCGCCATGAATTTGTGAAAACACAAACAGCTCGGGTCACATCTCGGGCAGAAAGAGGCCACGCACACCTTCACTGTGACGTGGGGTTGGAGTCGTCGCCTCCATCATTGCTTGGCTGGGCATTGCACGATTCGTCTGCTCCAATCAGCGGGCGGAAACTTGAAAGGAACACCATCAGCACCAAGGCGACATTGGAGAAAGCCATGCAGTTCCCCACGAGCTGCCTGGCACGCTTCACGTCCCGACAAGGTAGAGGACTGCAGCCCAAAGCATCTGCCATGCAATGTCGCACGGGAAAAGACATGGTGCATAGCCTGGGGACGCCAAGATGAAAAACCAAACACTTTATGAAGAGACAAAAGGCAACAACAAACATGATGATGATGTCTGAGGTTGCCACAACTCGGCGCCTGTCAACCAGCGCTTTCGGAGCGGCGACCAAAACTTGGCAGACCCTGCGTTGCGACGCAGGCAAGGCAAGCGGCCGCTGGTGGCACTCCACAAACAAGTGAACTGAGGATTGTCTGCCAAGCAGTAGACCAGGTCAGGGTCCAGACTTGGGCCGCGTCCCTGGGTTTTCCAGAACTTCGCGTCCAATTCACGGATCGCAAGCTTCTCCCGCTCATTGAGAAGGTAGCTGAAATCAAAGTGTCCCGGCACCACTACCTTCCCTCTCTGCCTGGCCACATGCTCTGCCTCGCACATCAGCTCTACCGGGCCTGCATGGAAGTAATCCCGCACACGGGTTTGGCCTACAGACTTCACAATGTCCACAACCATCTGGTACAAATCCGACGGCTCAGCCAGGACTTCAAAGGCATCCTTCAAGGTGAGGAGGAAGTACACACGTCGTCTGGAAGCTCCCCCATGCCCGCAGTGGGAGAGGTCAACATCGAGCTTCCGGATGTCATACATGTCCCCCAGCAAACTGTCCAGCTGCTCCTGCGGAATGTCCTGAGTCGTCAGAGGAGGGGAAGCGACCGCAGCAACTAAGATGAAGCAAAGGCACAAAACACCCGCCACACCTAGGACCTTTAGGACCTCTGCCATGCGAGCAAGTCACTGGAGTGTTCTCCAAGACGGCCAGCTTGATGCCTTGCCTCTTCAGACGGATGGCCCAGGCAATAAAAACAGGAGATGTGCTTCCTTCGAAAAACTCCCGCCCTCGCTTCATCCTGCTCTGATCTGTGCAAGGCAGACCCGACACATCGATATCCACTGGCGGAATCGCACAAGTCTCTCTGTGAGTGCAGCAGGGGAGCTCCGTCTGCATGACAGACGAGAAAGCTTCGTGCTTCTTCTGCACAAAGCTTGCCGTCGACAAGCGCGGGGACTTCAGGAGAGGAACTAAATCTGTGACATCCCGAAACATGCACGGGCTTGGGTGCTGCGAGCGGGACACGTGGTTGCCCCAGCTGACGTGGTCCATGATCGGCTGGTGGCAGAGCTCCTTCACTTCCTTGATTGCAGGCAGGCTACGGGGATCACTGATTAAGGCGCAGTCAGCCAAACCTCCAACTCAACCGAGAGTCCCAAGTGCAAGCACACTGCACATCCACCCGGAACGGCAAATCTCGAGCATCATTCACCACACGAGAGATGGCTGCCAATGCCATCTCTGCCGTGGCTATGCCCGTGCACATCGAGCTGCTTACGCGGACATATCGCCACAGCGAGTCCTTGTCAGATGTGCACAATGAATCGCCCGCCTAAACGTCTGACTCTTGCACCTACAGAGAGTCCTGCAGCAAGTCACTGCCCAGAGCTGCATGAATCTGTTGCCACGCGACCTAGAACACAGAGCCAACCAGGGTGCATGGTGTATGCAGAGCTGTGTGCTGACTAAAAGCTCAGGCACCAACAGCCAAGCAGGCAGAAGCTTTCGCCAAGCGGTCCTCGCTCTCCTGGTTAGCGGCAACCTGCACAGAGCAAGCTCTCAAAACCGAAACAAGTTGGTTTGCTCCAATCACATCCACGCCTCGCGGCGCCCTTGCTCTGCAAAGTACGCATCCGCCGAGGGATCAGTCTCCGTCACAAGCGTCGTCATGGCTCCATGCTTGGCCTAGCCTGGTTATTGCAACCTAGCCAGCTCAGACCTGCTCTGGGCGGCGGGCGTTCACAAGCAAGCTTTTGACAGTTCCGACAGCCGCAGCCTGACAGCAAGCATGCTTATACCGGGCGCCGAGCTAGAGGTGGCCCGAAACCAGATATGTTCACACCGTCGTCCGGACCTGAACCAAGCAAATGGAAGACATATATGTGGTGGGAATCTCAAAAGCTTCGCATGCTTGTGGCCCCCGCAGTAATTCCAAAAGCACTCGGTGGGAGTCTTGGCGATATTGCTGCCGTCCAATGTGACCTGGGATTCCCGCAGCTCACCCAATCAGGCCTGCGCAACACTGACTAAGCACCCTCCGGTAAGTGTGTCGCATGAAAAGTCGATGCATCCTTGAACGCCTCCTGCAAACGCTTGATGTAGGCGGCCTGATGAGGACCGCTGACGAGCCAAACTCTTTTGAACAAGAAGCTGCATGATGCGATTGAGGCTTGCGCCATCTCCCTATGAGCATACTCGGCTGGGTTCACTTTGAAAGTGGCGCTCTCTTGGAACTTCTGGAAAGCTTGGGGTAGCAGCAGGACCTGCGTGGATTTGATCGATGCTTCTGCGCAAAACACAACTGTGAAACTGGACAGACAAGGCCTGGCCCCGTCGTAGTTTTCGCATACCTCCATGGATCTGCAGTATGCTCAGGCGCTTCGTTGATGCGAGTCGTTGCTCCGGTAGCCCTTGTAGCAAAGAGCTGCTTTCATCCTTGCAGTTGCGGCAGGCCCGGTCATTGCAGGCACCGGTCTTTAATTAAATCCAGTGAAGCGGCCAGAAATTTGGCCAGCTGCGCAAGCATGCCAACAGCAACGCAACGAAGAAGCTGGAAATCTTGAGACGAGTCCTGAAACCTGAGCCGTTCATTCACATCCAAGGCAACTTCATGACAGGCTTTCACTTGGTGTGACACCGGTGCTCAGGCAGTGGCTCTGGATACAAAGCAAAGCAAATGAGCTCCGCCACGTTCGGTGACGCTGCCGCTGTCGTAACAAAGTCTACATGTGCGTCATCCTCAGCGCGGGTTTGCTGGGAACTGGTTCCATAGTCTACACTATCGCCCACAACAGCACATTAAACTAAAGAAGATATCCTGGACTGAGATTCCACACACTGCTTCCACAAGTCCAAGCTTGGAAACCCTTCCTGCCAAATGCTACCACCAGGGATGGCGCCGTTGCCAGCGACAGGGACATTTGTCGCGCTTCCATCCCCCAGGTTCACCACAACCACTCGGAATTCTGATGTCAAGGCTGCACGCATGACAAGGTTTTTCAAGAACTCACGGGCAGTGCTCGTAACAGCCCTGGACTCAGCACTGGCATTCTGACGATCTGCGTCCCCCACCAGCATTGCAAGAAAAGCCACCAGCACTGATGTGGGCCTCGTGAATTCCCGCAGAACTCCAGGGACCTGGTCTGGGGCTGGCTCCGAACCTTTCTTCAAATTGCTCTGAAGAATGGGAAGCTCCGGTGGGACCTAGGCGGCAAATCAGGCGTGGCTTCTACTAGACTACCATGGCACGACAAAGAACCTTCTTAAATTGACACTTTGTCAGCAAGATCTTTCGTGACATCATCCAAGTGCTGGAAAATGGCGGGAACACCAGGCCAGATCTGGGCGTGATATTCCCGGATTTTCTGGTCAAAGGCGGCCGAACGGAACTTTTTCTTCAGGTTCTTTCGATGGTCCGATAAAGTGACCTGGTTTTCCTTCTTGATGTAGAGCTCTTGCAACACATATGTGATAGCCCACTCTCTTTGCCGCCCCTGCAGGGGCATACCGTACAGGATTTTTGCATGATCTAGAACAAAACTAGGCCTCTAGCTCATACACAGGGACATAACGAGTCGCTGTCAGACTGACTGATCCTGAGCTCCGGCAGACGTACCTTGTTGTTGCAGGAAGCTTGGCCCCAACAACACTGCAGGCAAGCATCCCGAGTTGAGCAGAACGGGCCCCTCTTGATCCACATCCATAGTGCTTGGGGCCAAAATGGCCACTGATACATCGAAACGGTCGCACAATCCCTCAAGATGTTCCGCCCCACAACAAGGACACCTCTGGCTCCACAGATTTCCTTACATGCCGGAACCCCCCCCCCCAGGACCCCCCCCAATCCCTATGAATATATATATATATGGGTTCTATTCTATCATAAGTAGAACTGAAGAGCCAGGGTTGTTTTTGGTAACATCCCCTCGAGTGACTCCTGTGGTTTTGCAGGTTTTAGCATGTTTCAGCATGCTGCCGGGGGGGCTGATGGCATACTTTTTAAGAGCACATCTGTTTTGCTCGGTATTTACAGTATCTTCGTGATGTTGTAGTCCATCCAATACCAACGTTGATGATGATGATGATGATGATGATGATCATGATGTTGGGTTTAGGCGCCAGTACTCCACTGCCCGTCCAAGCGACTAAGCGTGAAATCGTCCTCCACGTAAAGCTTTCCCTAAACGCTTGCTTCATAATGTCCTCAAAACTACTGTAAAACGCACGAAACGCGCCTATCCAAGTGACCCCTCTCGAGGATCGCGATCATCGTTATAACTCGTCCCCTGAGCAAACATATGCTGACACCACAGTTTCGCACACTGTTGAGCCTGCACAGGAAAACACTCACATGCAAACCGTCAGGAGTCACGCGAGGGGATGTTACCTTGTTTTTGGTTGCGGGTCAACCTTATTCGAGGAGTGCGGGTTTGGGTTTTTGGGGCTCTAGGCTTGGGTCTTAGGCTTAATGCCTCAAGGGATTTGATATACACAATACACGGTTTACAGAGTCCTGTATGGGTAACCGGGAACTAGACGGAACGGTAAGGCCTTGTATGGTTTAGAGGGGTTTGAAGACCTAAGGTGTAGAACTCTATCAGTCGGGGACAAGGTGGAGAGAGGAGTAAGATATCACTAGTTCGGGTCCATAGAACTCTCTACCAGTTAGCTAAGGCAGTTTGCTTCGGGTCCTCGCCGGAGCTGCGGTCCCCACATCCGGCCTCCCAGCTGGCGCAGAATGCCCGCCAGAGCTTCTGGGGAGGTCCGGTGCTGATTCATGAAGTCGGACCGCGCCGTCATGTACTTGACCATGGTGTCCTCCATCTGCTCCCCCAGCTCCGCGAGCATCTCCCGCTGAACGGTGCTGGAAGAAGATGTGGCCATGGCCATCCTTACCCCCTCCATGCTGGCTCATGCTGGCCAGCTGACTCCTGTGCGAGTCCCTGGACTGCTCAAGCTCTTCTCCCGTTGCGCGACAGATCTCCGCAGCCCTTGATGGCATGGCTTTGCACAGGGCCCTGCGAAGGTGCTTGATCTGTTTTCCCCTCCCTTTTTGTTTGTTACTTATGCCTCTGGAGCGCAGCGTAAATTTGGTATCCATGCTGTCCTTGCATCGCTCGCTGCCCCGGCCTGCTCCGACTGCAAGCTTGCCTGCCTGCCTCTTGGCCCAATGACCCCTAGTGAGGGCGTTGATATCTCCACTTCGCCAGTTCATTGAAAACCTGAAGGCCGCATCAAAGAGTTGCTTGTATCAGGATTGTTCTAAACGGTCCTTGTAAACGCACCTGATTGTTGTTTTGGGGCTACACGCTAAGCACGGAACCCGATAGAAGGTTCATGATATGCTTTGAACCATACGAATCTCGCACCGAAAGGCACGGCTAGTTGCCCTGAATGAAATAGACTCATAAGTATCATAACCCCAATTGGGGATCCCTTTCAGGGTGCTTATAAAAATCGTTACTACCTGGTTACTACCTGCCTGCTAAGTCCCCCGACCTTCCCCAAACCCCTAAATCCTTAAAAACCTAACCCCTAACCCTAAACCCCCAAACCCTAAACCCTAAACCCCTAAACCCCTAATTCCTCAACCCCAAAGCCCTGATAGAACCCACTGGGTCCCACCCAGAAAAGCGCCCTAATGTGAAGAGGCCTTAATGTGTACGTTAAGCGTTGAGGGGTTTAGGGTTCAGGGTTTAGGACATTGTACTAGAAGTGACATCGGGACTACAAGGGGACGCTTGTACCAAAGCCAGAATAGGAAGTGCCTTCATGACCAAATCATAGGTTGTTATACTATAAATGATACAGGAACCATAGCGGGATGCTACGGTTCATGATATAAATACCCATCGCAAGGAATATGCCATAACTCCCATAGTTTAGGATCCTTAAGGTTTTGCAGGATTTATATCATCA